CAGCTTGAGGAACAATATCAGGAAATTGATAAACTACATATGAAGAGCTCAACCATCTACACCAGACATGTTAAACCCAAGGCCCGGGGGCTGGATGGGGCCCGCGAAGTGGTTTCATGTGGCCCGCGAAGCCATCCTGGAAAAAGTGAGGGAATGGCCCCCGCTGCCTTGGCCCTTGCCCAGGCTGGCCGGGAGCCAATGTACAATTTTGTGATGGCTATCTATGCTGAAACACATTCAGTCTTAGCTCCACAAGTCCGTCTAGAAACAGTGAGGAACCAGCTCCTGCCGCATTGGCCTCGCCCCCTGGGTGCATGCTGGGGAAGTATCACCACTTATGAGGAATGAAGAAATGGACCATGCCTTGGCACTTGCCCCGGTCCCACTCCCTTCTGCCAGAGACCCTCAGATCTGTCCCACTCCTGCCTAGGCCCCCACAGGCCCCCTTGACGCAAACGATGTAGAGCTGGCCATGCCCACCCAGTAGGCAACACCCACTCCATCCACACCCACCCAGTAGGCCGTACCCACCCTGGCCACACACCCCTGCCCCCCCCAGGGCAACCGCAATGCTGATGCGGCCCTCAATGAAATTGAGTGACACCCCTGATCTACACTGTGTACATCAGCTTTTGCCTTGAGCATCTCTGCAGTGGAGTACAGTATGCTGTTCCAGTATGGGATGCATCTGCACACATGAAGCAAATTGATATTGCCATCATTAGGCTTACTTATAGGTTGTCTCACCCCTATACCAACTGAGAAAATATATCCTCTTGCTGGTCTTGCCCCACTTAAGATCAGGAGAGAAGTAGCAGAGAATCTGGAATGTTGTTGTTAGTTGCAAAGTTGTGTCCCGCCCATCGTGACCCCATGGACAACATTCCTCCAGGCCTTCCTGTCCTCTACCATCTTCTGGAGTCCATTTAAGCTCACGCCTACTGCTTCAGTGACTCCCTATAGCCACCTCCTTCTCTGTCATCCCCTTCTTCTGTTGCCCTCAATCTTTCCCAGCATTAGGCTCTTCTCCAGTGAGTCCTTCCTTCTCATTAGGTGGCCAGAGTATTTGAGTTTCAACTTCTGGCCTTCTAAAGAGCAGTCAGGGTTGATCTCCTCTAGGACTGACCGGTTTGATCGCCTTGCAGTCCAGGGGACTCGCAGGGGTCTTCTCCAGCACCATAGTTCAAAGGCCGCAGCAGCCAGCCTTCTTCTGGTCAATAGGTTTAAATCCCGCCTGCTCTTCTCCCTATTGGATCTGGTGAATCTTAATGTCAAATAAGTCCCCTCTACAGCTCTGCATTTTCCACTGGGGATAGGTTCACAAGAAGCCCGCCTAAGCCTGCCTCCCCCTGTGCCCCCTCGGTTTGAATATCCTGATAGATTTTAAGAAATGTCATTCAAAGGCCGCCCCGCCCATTTCCTCCTCGACCCGAGCGATGCTTCTTGCGAAATCAGCAAGCTGAACCTCCGCTCGGTGCTGGGCGGGGAACCGTTCTTGGAAGCTGTTATTGGGCAAGAAATCCACGTCCTCCAAGCCCTTCCGTGGCTCATTGGCTGGCAAGGCTGACGGCGGAACGGCGGCAAAAGAAAGGCCGTGGAGAAGAGGCTTGGAAACCGAGCTGCCTTTCCTGGGAAAGAGCGACAGGGACCGTCATCAAATTCCAGCCAATTGGCTTTGAGAGTAGAAGGCACAACGAGCAAGGGCGTGTGGGGGGGTGTGGTTCTCTCTTCTAATCAACGCTGCCGGTTGGGCGATCAACTTTAGTTTTTCGGGTTACTTTGGGGCTACTTAGGGTGCTTTTAAGGCCTTTAGATATGGGACGATATAGCAAACTGGCATGAATAATTGCAAAATGTATCTCAGGGGCATAGATGATGCCCGCACACCTAATCGGTCAACTGGTCTTCTCCCCTCTCACTGCATCACCTCATTCTCCAAATCCAGCTTATTCTTTCTCTTTCCCCACTTTCCACCACCTCTCCTAAGGACTCTTTTGCAAAACTAGAGGGGGGTTCACACTTGCAATCTCCAACATCCCTCCCCTTAATATTTGGACTCCTCAACCTTTCCTGAATTCCTGGCATCCAGATGCTAAAGTTTCCATTCCCCCCCCCCTTTTTTTTTCTTCTCCCCTCCCCCATCTTTGTGGGCAGGTTTGCTGCCACTGCTGTTTACCCGGCCCAGCTCAGTCCCCCATCTCCTGAGACGGTGCCTTCCCGTGCATGCAATAAAAAAGTCATGGACAGGCAAAGAAAACTCCGACGCTGCTGATGGGCACAAACCCATTTCGAGTTACCCTTTTGCATGCCTTCCCTTGGCGCGTTGGAGGGTGGAGGTCAGTTGAGGGAAATTTTTGACGTTTGTGGATTGGGTCTTTTTGAGGTTTTTAGTCTGCAAAAAATTTGGGCATTTGGCAATGCTGTTTCCAGTTCTTCAAAGGATCTATTTGACTTTTGTTTCATGAGAACTATTATGTGTATTCCTTTTTTTTTTAATAGGATCGGGCATGATGCTATATATTCTCCAGCGTTTTAGAATTCTAAAAATCTGACTTGGGAGTGTTTTCCCCCCATTCATTTCATTTTTTTTCCTGTGGAGGATGTTTTTTCAGCAATATGTTTAATAAATCATTAGTCCTGCCTTTCCATGTAAGTAGTAATATGGAAACTGAAGGCATGAGTATTGTTTTTATTGTTTTATTTTTATTTCGTTTAGATCCCGCCTTTTTATTATTTTTATAGACAACTGAAGGCAGACATATCTTATATTCCTTCCTCCTATTTTCCCCACAACAACAACCTTATGAAATGAGTTGGACTGAGAGAGTGACTGGCCCAAGGTCACCTGGTTCAGGGGTCTCCAACCCCTGGTCTATGGACTAGCACCGGGCCATGGCATTCCAGAAACCAGGCCGTGTAAACAAGCAAAGCCCCATCCATGGGATGCAGGCAGCACATGAAACCATACCCCCTCCAGTCCATAGCAAAACCTCTCTCCACAGAACTGGTCCCTGGTGTGCAAAAAGTTGGGGGCCACTGATCTAGCTGATTTTCTCAGGGCCTTCTGTTTTCTAGTCTGGTACTTAACCACTAGACCAAACTGACTCTTATCTCTTCTCTTATGATAGCACTTTGCTTATTTCTTTACCTACAACTTTGCTCATTTATTTAAATATATTCATCTCCCTATATAGATCTAATTTGCTTGAATACAGCTTCAAAAGTGAAGCAGTCTGATTTTGCATAATTCTAATGGGAAAGTTTAAAGCTTTGTTTAATACACAATGGCTTGGTATGCATTTATGTTAAGGTATAGACAGATTTTTATTTACTCAGATAAAACCAATATATTAGTGTATGGTTTAGTCTTTTTGGAAACTAACTAATTAATATAGTTATTGCATTCATATCCTGACTTTTCTTTGGGAATTCAAGTTGACATGTATGGAGCTGTTTTCTCATGTTATATCCAACACAACAATCCTGTCAATAGGTTGAGCTGAGTAAGAACAACTTGATAAAATCAGGTCCAAATATATTGTGGAATGTGTATCAATTCAGTTGTGGTTGACTCAGTAAACAATAGTTAAGCATAGCATAGCATATCAACTGTTGTGGTTGACACCTCATGTTGATCAAAAAGAAAGAAAAATTATGAATGTTTCCTTTGATTTACTATAGACAATACTAGCCTTTGGTTTAGCATTGCATTTGAACCAGCCCATTGCCAAAGCAATCATCTAAATGTTTTGGATAGTTTGTGAGTTATGTGTTTTGCTTAACAATAGCAATAGCATGTAGACTTATATACCGCTTCACAGTGCTTCACAGCCCTCTCTAAGCGGTTTACAGAGTCAGCATATTGCCCCAAACAATCTGGGTCCTCTTTTACCAAACTCAGAAAAATGGAAGGCTGAGTCAACCTTCAGCCAGTGAGAATTGAACTGGCAGCAGCTGGCAGTCAGCAGAAGTAGCATGCAGTACTGCATTCTAATCACTGTGCCACCACAGCTCATAATAAATAGCTAGGTATTTCAGAGAATGTTTTGGCTAATACCTTTTGATAGCATCCAATAGTGTGATTTCATTTTTAGCCCAACCTAGAATCTCTGCTGTGACTCTTAAGTTCATGATTCTTTACTGACAAATGCTGACACTAGCTGGATGCAAAAAAAAAAAAAAAAAGGGGGGGGGGAGGATAAGGATAAGGAGGAGATTATAATTTTTATTGTATTCCAGCTGTAAGTAATGTGATCATGTATGATCTTAAAGTTTATTTCTCCCTTTGAGATTACCTATGAGTTTATGGTCAGAAGATTGGGAAATAAAATAGGCATGGAAAATACAGCAAGTGAATACTTTATCTTTGTAGATTTGTATAGATGGTATATCCTTGAAGCTTGTGGAAGAGATAGGGAGCAGCAAACAGCACAAAAGTCATATAGACAGATTATTTGTAAAGCATAAAAAAGACAATTTCATTTAAATACATTGATTTGAAATTTTATATAATATTTGAGTCTACATATAGCTAACCCATAATGTATATTTGGTTTAGTTTCATTGTGCAGTGTGAACCTCACTTTGTGTGGTATGTAAGTCTGGCTGATTACTTAACTGTGATTCATAGAAAAATTACAAACTATAGCCTAGTATAGCGGTTGAATCTAGACATTGCCTTCCTGGACGAGGTATAAAAGAGCAGTTAATTGTACAGTATTTGTTCAACTCAATCAATGCAATTCCTTCAGTGTCAGCATTACATCTTTGGATTAGTTTTCTTTCCATTGAAGCCATAGAATGTTGATGGTGCAAATTGTGGATGGAAGAGTGGGTTATATGATTGGCGGCCCCGTGGCAACCATTGTGAGGTCATGAGAGCAGCTGGAAGATCCTTACCCTGCCTGGAGAGCCAGTTGGCTTATAGATAGTAGATATTTCCTGGTGTGGTACAGGCAAGAAAATCTGTGTTCATACCAGATATCGAACCCCAACCTATAATGGCCAACATTGTGGTGAAGACTATCTGGCAGTCCAAGGAAATAAATGAGGCTGGAGACACACCGACAGGCATTGAGAGTCGAGCCCAGAGCAACAAGGATCAGCTTGGAAAGACTACTAGCATTAAGGGCTTTCCAAAAAAAAAGAAAGCTGTCTCTTTCCATGGGTGAGTGACCAGGGAGGGGGGAAAGGGTAGAAGTGAAATTCAGTGCACTACTTATAGCAGGAAAAGGGATGCAGGGTGGCATTTCTGCTTTGCTTATAGATGGTTTTAGATTCAGTTCCAGGCATCTGGAAAGGCCTCTGGGAAGAGATTGTGCAAAACACCCTTTTCTCCTTCAGTTCATCAGATCCCAGCTCTGTTGGACTACAACTCACAGAACTTGTAGTGTGCATAAAGCTGGCCAAAAATAATGAATGCTTGTAGTCCAACACTGGGCTAAGTGGATAATGAATCTTCGTCTGATCTAAGCAGGTACTATAACAGCGGTTATTGCTGACAATTCTGGCCAGGCATTGTGAGAAACCATTTAGATATCTTTTGTATGTGAGATAGGTCTCTGTGTGAGTGGATGGATTGGTAGCACTAATCTGCAGTGTTCACTGATTCATAAGTGAGTGATTCTAGCTGGTAATGTCAAAAGAAGAAATGAAACCTTTGGACACTTTTATGTGCAGTGCCCCAGGACTTCATTCTCTCCCCTATCCTATTTAATATTTAAATGAAACCACTGGGAAAGGTCATTTCTTGGATTGGAGTTCAATAATATCTTCCTGACATCTAGCTTTGAACTGAGCAGGAGATGCATTTTCTTCCAGTATGTGAAAGGTGAGGGATTGAATGGAATGGAATGAAACAAGGTAAAATTGAATCAAAGCAAGAGGATGTTACCGCTTGTTCAGAAACAACTGGGCTTCTTTTGTGGTCCTGTATTGGCTTTAGAGAGGATCACATTCCTTGATGGAGCTAGTGTGAAAATGGAGATCCTGCTATTTGATTAGCAGGTGGAATCTTTTACCAGAGAAGACTTTGCACAATGTTGTCTAGTGTTTCTTTTACATTTCTTGTGGAATGGGAAACCTTGGCAATAGTCCCTCTTATCCTTATAACATTGATTGTTCCAATATGTTCTGAGTTGGGCTGCCTTTGAAGATGTCCTAAAACTGTAGTTGGTACTCATTTGGTGCTCATTGGCTGGGAGCACAATCTGTTTCAATACGATACCATTGGGCTGTGGTTCTTCCTTGGTTAACAATGAATTTTCTTGTATAAAATGCTGATTTTGATCTATGAAGCCTTTATTTGCTTTATGAACCATCTTCTTCAAATAGGTACAGTGCATCCTATTTGGGAAGTTTCTTTGGATTTCAAGAAATGATGGGGATGAGAGCCTTTTTGATAGTTACCCTATCTTTTTGGAACAGTCTGCCCCTCTCCCATTTTGTTTGAACTTATTGGATAAATAAATATGACCTCATGTGAGTCACCCAAAGAGTGTTGACTTGGCAGGCTGTAAGTGATGGAACAAATAAGACTAGATACCCCATCAATGTGTTGGATTTCAGTTCTCAAAATTTCCAGAAGAATATTCCAGGATTTCAATATAGGAATCCCTTAAATTGAGGGTGTTGAAGACCAACACATACATACAAACATCATATTTGGGAGAGGTGAGCTAGGATTTCATATTGTTTTCATATCTTCATATATTGATATTTGTTTTCTCATAAAAGGAGTTTAGAAAGCTTAGTAGAAGTTAATAAAACTGATACCAGCCAAGGGTTGCTCTTAGTTTTCAAAAGCTTAGGTATCGAGCTTCATGAGGCATCAAAAGACTCTTTGCTATAGATTGCTATATGCTATAGATTGCTATATGCAATCTCTCTGCAGTATATATGTAGGTAAGAAAGTAGTCAACAACTGGATCTAAGGATAATGAATGCCCTTTTTCCCAAACCAGAGTTGAGCCCCATTTTACCAGTGAAAGTCCCAATCTGAATTTGAAGCGTTCTTCTGCTTGCACTAATGTTTCTCTCCTGAATCTAACTGATGGGGAACGTGATGATTCCACCACGGAGAATGAATCCACAGATGATGGAGGCCTACCAGGGGGAGCAGGAGGCGAAAGACGGGATCCTCTATTTCCCATCAAGCCAGCATGGTCAGAAGATGAAGATGAAAGTTCCAGCCAGCAAGTGAGGAAATGAATCACAATCTCGCATACCTGTTGCTGCTTTCCTAGATAATTAATTTGCCCTGAGTTAGTATTGTTCTAATAACAGACAAGAAGAAAACATGCCACTCCCATAAAAAAGTGTCCTATGGCAGTGGTGGCGAACCTATGGCACGCGTGCCAGAGGCAGCACTCAGAGCCCTCTCTGTGGGCACGCGCACCATGCCCCAGAGATGGCAACTGTCCCTCTTCAACCAGCTGCCTGCTAACTCGCCGAGGTCCCATGTGGCCGGATGCATCCCAGCACGGCTGGTTTCCCTCCCCCCCCGTCCCATCCGTCCTGACCTCGCATGCTCTCCTTTTCCCGGGCACGACCCACTACATCGCCTCCTCAGCTGTTGGCCAGCCGTCCAGCTCAAAGGCGGCTTCTCTGAACTGCTGGCGGTGGGCTGCGGAGCCCCAGAGTGTGCCGGTCGAGGGGCCAGCAGGCTGTGGCTGCTAACGGACACTGTCGGCCCCCATGGGCTCGCTGGCCTCTGTATGCGGGGGCCAATGGTGTCAGGCAGCCGCCCCGGCCCCTGCCTCGCCTTGCCCTGCGGCAATGGCATCCCCGCTCTACCTCATCTTGCCTCGCCTCACCCCGCAGGATGAGCCTCCTGCCCACCGCCCCAACTGCCAGAGACCCCCTGGATCTTCCCCAGCCCTGCCTGTCCCCCACAGGCATCCCTCCCCACGAGCAACATCAAGGTGATCACGCCCACCTTGGCCACACCCACCCAGTCTTCCATGACCACCACAGCAACGCCCACCCAGTGGGCCACGCCCACCTGGCACCCAGCGATAAATAAGTGAGTTTTGGGTTGCAGTTTGGGCACTCGGTCTCTAAAAGGTTTGCCATCACTGTCCTATGGCATTTTAAACAATACATTGATTAGCTCACTAGTTACCTGATGCCATGATACAGTTATATATTTTTAAGATGCCATAAGATGCTTGACTCTTTAGTGCTATATTAGACTTACAGATTCTCCTTCTGCAAGTTTTCCAAAAAAAAAGTTTGTACACTTGATGCGTTTGAGGTCTGTTTATCTTTTCAGTCCACATTCCACTTTGAAGATGCTGCTTCCAAGTCTCCCACATTTCCTTGGTGATTGGAAAGGATGAATCCTGTTGGAACTTCTAATTTTTTAAATTAATTTGTAATATAAAATATAAAAATACAAAAGCAAATAATGGGGAAAAGGGAAAAGGGAAAACAAGGGGAAAAGAAAGAAAAGGCATTGACTTCCGATTCCCTTTGATGCTGTTAAATAAGATAATAACATCAAACCTCAACTTTTTACTTTATAAACTAGCCGTTTCTATAACAACAAATCTACCTAATCGGTAAAACTCAAAATCAAAGTTTAGTTTTTTTTCCACATCAAGCACAAAGTCCACAAGCAGTTTCCAAGTAGAAAGAAAAGTAGTTGTGTTTTTTTTTAAGTCAAAGCAGTCAATTTAGCCAACTCTAACTCCATTAACTTTTACAGCCGTTCGTCCATTGTGGGAATCGAAATGTCCTTCCATTTTTGTGCATATTATATTATATATTATATATTATATATTATATATATATATTATATATCTTAACATATTATATAACATCAAAGTTCCAATTTTTTCCCAAGTCTTTTTTCATTAAACCCAAAAGAAAAGTTCTGGTTTTACCTTTGTATTCACTTTAAGGTTCTTCTGAATTAGGATATGAATCCTACTGTAATATTTTTTTTGCTTTATCAGATGTCCATCATAAATGATAAAAAGTCCCTTCTTTATATTTGCATTTCTAACATTCATTTGAAATACCTTTATACAGTCTTGACAACTTATTTGGTATCTTAAATACCAATGATACACCGTCTTATAAAAAATTTCTTTTAAATTATAATTTAGTGTACATGTTAAACCTTTCATCTACATATTCTTCCATTGTTCAAGCATTACATTATATCCAAAGTTCCTTGTCCACTGAATCATTCAATGTTTCACATATTCATTTTCCAAATTCAAAAACAATTATAGATCTTAGCAATAATATGTTCATCACTACACTTTTTGTCTAATTTAAATCTTTCTTTCAAATGTAAATATGTAAACCAATGGCAGACATGTCCTTCTGATTCTAACTCCTCCTTAGACTTGAGGATAGGATCACCAAAATTAAAAGATATTATTTAACCATAAGCCCACCAGTCGGGCTTTGCCACTATTTCTTTTCTGAAAAAAGCTTGCTGGGGGGGACACCCAAAGAGGCAGCTTCATAGAATACCTTGTTTTATATTTTCTCCAAACTCTTAGAATGGTATGTCTAACAAAGTGTTATTAAAATCAATATTTACTTTAACATTGTCATACCATAAATAATCGTGCCCTCCAAATCTTAATTCACGACCTACTAGATTGAGTAGTCTCATATTCTGGAGATTCACCCACTCATTTAGCCAGACCAAACAACAAGCATCGAAATAAAATTCCAAATCTGGTAAACCTAACCCCTCTCTTTCCTTAGCATCTTGCAGTAGTTTATATCTGATTCTTACTTTTTTCTCTTGCCATATAAATTTAGAAATATCCATCTGCCATTGTTTAAATGGAAGTATCAGTTGCAAGCATTGGTAAAGTCTGAAACAAAAAAAGCATCATAATTACAGAAATCTTAATTATAGAAATTCTATCCAATAGTGATAAATGCAGTTTATTCCATCTTAATAAGTTCTTTTTGATATCATTCCATTTATTTTGCATTTGCGTTTATGATCTCCAAATATTTCACCTTTTTCTCAACCCTAAAACCAGACTTTAGTCAATATATCACAGCTCTGTAAGATGATATTCTTAATAAGCATTGTTGTTTTCTGTTTATTTTAAACCCCACTAAAACCCCAAACTTATTTAATTACCTTATCAAATATTCTATATTATTGGGGGGTGGGGTCTAGCAAGAATATAACCAAATCATCAGCAAATGCCTTCAATTTATAAACTGCCTTCTTGATACTTATACCTGCTATTTTCTCATCTTGCCTAATCTTTATTCAAAACTTCCAACACCAAAATTTCACATGAATTGGTTAGATCACCGTTAATAACAATTTTTGCTTACTGTGACATATAAACTGTTTAACCCCTTGAATAAAATTCTCCCCAAAGTCCATATCTTCCAAAACTTCAAACATAAAAGCCAAATTTAAATTTTTAAAGGCCCTCTCTGCATCTAAAAATATTGAAGCTGCCTGTTTCTCATTATGATATTGTAAATATTCAATAATGTCAAAACAGTCCTCACATTGTCCTTTAACTGTCTTTTTGGCAGAAAGCCAGATTGATCTTCATGAATATATGCCTTACAACCTTCTTTAATCTTCCTGCCAGAACTGCAGCAAAAAGTTTATAGTCGTTGTTTAATAGTGAGATTGGTCTGTAATACTGTATATTCGTAACCTTCTAATGTTGTCTATATCTGCTGTTTCAGAGGTATTATATTCTCCTCTCCAAAGGGTGTCTTTGGTATTTTTGCTATATATTTAAAGGAAGAGATGCTCATGGAGAGAGGGAATTGAATCTCCACTCCTCCCATTTAACCTTACCTCCTTTTTCTATTTTTCTTGAACGAGCTTTTTTTCTTGCCTGGTTAATTACCAGTAAAAAGACTAGAATGGAAGAACAGCATTTCTAAATCAGAGAATGATTCAGACTTCCACATCAGTGTTATTGTCCTTTGCACTTAATATCAATGCATAAAATATATTTTAATGAGTGTATTTAGTAGTGATTAAACAATGTATTTCATTTTTTATTTTTGAACATAACTTTACTACATTTTTTAAAAAGAAAGATAAAAACTAACAACAGTTAATATTAGGAATGAAGACAGGAACAATAAGAGAAATAAAAAATGAATGTAGCTAAAAATGCAGAAATAAAAAATAGAGGAAAGAATTATAAAGAAGTATAAATGTAGATTAATCTCTTACTCCACGATTATATCATTGCTTACTACATTTTTTCTCTAATCTATTTTTTCCTAATCAAATCCATAGACTATTTCATTTTTTTTTCTATTTCTCACAAAATGTCAATAAGGGGACTCTAGCCAGCATTAAAATTAGACAATGTCTTATCTCTAGTTAAGTTTGGTTATCTCTGCAGGTTCCATCATTTTCATCATCAATGATAAAATATCCCTTATTGGGTTACAAATTTATGTTGATTTACAAGATAAATTTGAAATATCTTTGTACATTCTTGATAGTATTTTTGGTGACATGTACCATGATCCATTATTTTATAAAATGATTCTATGTAGGACTATAACACAAGGCAAATTTCAGCCCTTTCAATCATTTTTCTCACCATTCCATTTGTGTATTATAACCAAAGTTTTGAGTCCATTTTATCATATCTTCTTTCCTGTTGTCTTATGTTTCAAATCTCAATAGTATATGTTGTTGTTGTTAGTTGCGAAGTTGTGTCCGACCCATTGCGACCCCATGGACAACATTCCTCCAGGCCTTCCTGTCCTCTGCCATCTACTGGAGTCCATTTAAGCTCATGCCTACTGCTTCAGTGACTCTATCCAGCCACCTCATTCTCTGTCGTCCCCTTCTTCTATTGCCCTCAATCTTTCCCAGCATTAGGCTCTTCTCCAGTGAGTCCTTTCTTCTCATTAGGTGGCCAAAGTATTTGAGTTTCAACTTCAGGATCTGGCCTTCTAAAGAGCAGTCAGGGTTGATCTTCTTTAGGACTGACCGGTTTGATCGCCTTGCAGTCCAGGGGACTCGCAGGAGTCTTCTCCAGCACCATAGTTCAAAGGCCTCAATTTTTTGGCGCTCAAGCCTTTCTTATGGTCCAACTTTCACAGCCATACATTGCAACTGGGAAAACCATGGCCTTGATTATATGTACTTTTGTTGGCAGGGCGATGTCTCTGCTTTTTAGTATGCTGTCTTAGATTTGCCATAGCTTTCCTCCCCAGGAGCAAGTGTCTTTTAATTTCTTGGCTGCAGTCCCATCTGCGGTGATCTTGGAGCCCAGGAAGATTTCTTCCATTTCTTCCCCATCTATTTGCCAGGAATTGAGAGGGCCAGATGCCATGATCTTGGTTTTCTTAATGTTGAGTTTCAAGCCAATGTTTGCACTCTCCTTCTTCACCCGCATCAAGAGGCTCTTTAGTTCCTCTTCATTTTCTGCCATTAGAGTGGTATCATCTGCATATCTTAGGTTGTTGATATACATTTTAGCAATAGCATATTCAGCATTTGTACAAAGTTCTTTTCAAATTCAGTCTTATTATGTTCAAAACCAAAAGATCTTTATCTGCTTTAAATTTTTGTAACAATTGTACATAAGAAAACCATTAACATATATATCCTTTTATCGCCAGCTTTTCTCTTGATTTTATTTTATATTCTCCTTGGCAAAATTTCTAAGATATCAGAATAACTATTTATGTTTAGTTTTTAGTGTTGTAATTTGGTATTATGATTACTGAATGAACCACTTCTATTCTCCATGGTTAAAAATAGGCAGTCAATCTACTTTGCAAATTCCACCAATTAAGTCTTTTAAAAGAAAGCATTTCCCCACAGGTCTGAGACAGTTGCTTGCACCAATTACAATTTTATGATGCACTTTTGTAGAAAAATTAATCTTTTAAAAATTCTCTTCATTATCTGTGTTAGACTTTCTTAGTTCATCCCTTGTCAAACTTTTCATCTCTTGTCAAGCTTTTTTGCAAAGTATTTTTTAAAAGTTAAATATTTAAATCTTCTTTTATGAATTTGTAATCCAAAAAAATGTGCTTTCTTGTGGTAAAACAAAACTTCTCTGAAGCTGTAAAATAAATTTTAAATGTGGTTCAAAAAATGGGGTGGCAGTCAGAATTAAACAATGTATTTCCCGTGGTAGAATCATTTTGGAGTAAAGAAAATCTAAAACACATAATTTAAAAATAAAATTCTGAATTTATTTCTAATTCATTCTTTTCTGTATCTAATGATATTGCAGGAGGGAAAAATTAAAGAGAATCAAGGTTTTTTTATAGCAAGGAGTATTTTTGCCATTACTTGTTTCAAGAAAAATATTCCTTAAAAAAAATCTTCATATCACTTGATTGTTTAGGCAGTGGACTAGGAAAGAATTTGCCAACATAAATCTCTTCAAACATAGCCCACGAGATTAGCTTTTCTAGAAGATTTCACTCTCTTGAGATCCTCTTCCTAAAGTGATCTATTTGTATCATTCTTCATTCCTCATTTGCTTTCTATGCTTAGATATGGCCTTTTATATTGTTCCAAATATTTCTTTGTTCACTTTTCATGACCCTCAACTGCAAAAGATACATTGTAACAAGCAAGTGTCTACTTTATGGCCTCCTGACCCACTCAAAGATGTCACTAATTTCTTCTGTCACTTTCAGTAATGAATTTCTTAGGTCCCTAAGAAGACCTTTCAGCTGACATTGAGCCTGAAATAAATGATTGGGAAGTGTGAAGAAGTCAGGAGTGAGTGGATTATGTTTTCTTGATCTGGTCCCTTCTTATACTCTCTTCCAGCAGGAAGTCAGCAACAGTGGCCTTTTGCGAGCCAAGGACTCCATTACCAGTCTCAAGGAGAGGACATCTAAGGTCAACCACCATCTTCAGAATCTGCAGGTCTGGGTTTTTGTTTTTGTTTTTTTGTTTTTGTACAGACTACATAGCTGAAGAGTTAGATTTCCACATTGACCATGTCTGTTTCTGCTTTTATTGCCAGGAATGTAGAATGAATTTGTCTTTTTTTGAAGGCTGCCAATGCAAGAGTGCTTCACTGGGCCAGTTTGAGAGAGGAGAGGCTGAATTCTATCCCATCTTGTTGTAAAATCGGATCTGACTTTGCCTTCATTTTGATTGGCTTTATTGCTATTGTTTAATTTTTTAAAACAATACTGTTGACAAAAAAAATAGTTAAAAATTAAAAAGCAAGGATAAATATGTTGATCTTTAAGAAAATAAATTCATAATTAGACAATAGAACCACTTAAATTGACATAACCCTTAACCAGAGAAAATCATACAAAAAAAAAGCAGAACAAAGAGTGTTGGTGGGGAAAGGTAGGATTGGAATGAGGTAAAACGTTTAAAAGTAGACTATGCATATTATCCATAAAATTAACATTTTGAATTTCCTTATAGCACTAGTAGTTAAGATTAGGCAGAAGTACAGAATAACAAAATAACAGAGTTGGAAGGAACCTTGAAGGTCTTCTAGTCCAGCTCATGCTCAAGCACGAGACTCTATACAATTTTCAGACAAATGGCTGTCCAGTCTCTTCTTAAAATGCTCCAGTGATGGAGCACTCACAAGGCAAGCTTAAGGCAAGCTGTTCCAGTAGTTTATTGTTCTTACTGTCATGAATTTTCTCCTTAGTTCTAGGTTCTCCTTGATTAGTTTCCATCCATTGCTTCTTGTCTTGCCTTCTGGTGCTTTGGAAAAATCCTTTTTGTGACAATCCCTCAAATATTGGAACACTACTATCATGTCTCCCATAATCCTTTTTTCCACTAGATTAGAGATGCCCAATTCCTACAACTGTTCTTCATATGTTTTAGTCTCCAGCCCCCTAATCATCTTTGTTGCTCTTCTCTGTACTTTTTCCAGAATCTCAACACCTTTTTTATATTGTAGTGATCAAAACTGGATGCAGTATTCCAAGTGCAGTCTTACCAAGGCCATATAAAGTGGTACTGACTCTTCATGTGATCTTGATTCTATCCCTCTGTTAATGCAGTCTAGGATTGCGTTGGCTCTTTTGGCAGCTGCCGCACACAGTTGGCTCATATTTAAGCGATTGTATACCAAGACTCCCAGATCCCTGGAGTTAATTCCAGGTTTAGGCAGAGATATAACAGAATTGTTTGAAAACATCCAGTATTATTGCATACAAAATACATGAGCCTCTGCTTGTTTTGTTAGCATCAGTTTGCCTCTTTTCTCAACGTTTTCTAGAATGAAGTAATTTTGCTGTCCCGTTTTTGAAATTCAATATATTTTTTCCATAAGCAAAGTATACTGGTTCCTGTTTAGAAAATCAATTTTCCTGTTATATTGTCAATTGTCAGCAAGAGCTATATTGATTTTTACGTGAAAGGAAAGAGATTGAATTACCTCCTAGGAGAAGCAAGGCTCTTTTCTTGCTTGGCCAAGGAAAGTGAGGCTTCGAGAGCCAAATTAATTCAGTAGCAAATTTTGTCAAGATGAAGAACAAATATGGCTCACTGATAAGTAGACCACAACCTACTACTAGAAAAATGTGGGTTAGACAGCATCACCACCAGATGGATCCGTAGCTGGCTGATCGGCCGTACTCAGCGTGTGGTCCTCAATGGAACCGCATCTACATGGAGGGAAGTGTATAGTGGGGTGCCCCAGGACTCTGTTCTAGGCCCAGTGCTCTTCAACATCTTCATCAACGATTTGGACGAGGGGATAGATGGGGAACTTATCAAATTTGCAGACGACACCAAGCTGGCAGGAATAGCCAACACTCCAGAAGACAGGCTTAAGATACAGAAGGATCTGGACAGACTTAAACATTGAGTGCAATCTAATAAAATGAAATTCAATGGTGAAAAAAGTACACTTAGGCAAGAAAAACCAAATGCACAGGTATAGTATAGGTGGTTCCTTGCTCAATAATAGTAACTGTGAAAGGTATCTCGGAGTCCTAGTGGACAATCATTTAAATATGGTCCAGCAGTGTGCTGCAGCTGCCAAAAAAGCCAACTCAGTGCTAGGCTGCATTAACAGAGGGATAGAATCAAGATCACGTGAAGTGTTAATACCACTTTACAATGCCTTGGTAAGACCACACTTGGAATACTGCATCCAGTTTTGGTCACCACAATGTAAAAAAGATGTTGAGACTCTAGAAAGAGTACAGAGAAGAGTAACAAAGATGATGAGGGGACTGGAGGTTAAAACATATAAGGAACGGTTGCTGGATTGGGTATGTCTAGTGTAATGAAGAGAAGGATAGCAGTGACATGATAGCAGTGTTCCAATATCTCAGGGGTTTGCCACAAAGAAGAGGGAGTCAAGCTATTCTCCAAAGCGCCTGAAGACAGGACAAGAAGCAACGGATGGAAACTGACCAAAGAGAGAAGCAACCTAAAACTAAGGAGAAATTTCATGACCATTAGAACAATTAATCAGTGGAACAACCTGCCTCCAGAAGCTGTAAATGCTCCAACACTGGAAGTTTTTAACAAGAGATTGGACAGCCATTTGTCTGAAATGATATAGGGTTTCCTGCATGAGCAGGGGTTGGATTAGATAACCTCCAAGGTCCCTTCCAACATTATTATTATTGTTGTTGTTGTTATAATGCCTTCTGTGTAGTAGCTTGGCATGAAGGAAGGAGCTGATAGGACCACAAGACCCATCTATTTTCTGCCACACCTTTTCTTTCTTTTTATCATTTTTTCTTTTTCAAGCATCAGGTAGCAAAGATGGGACAGATAATTCTTACCAGTCAGTTGTTGAGAGTTTTGAAGAAGGCTGTTTTGAGAGTTTTTCATTTGCTCCATCTGATCCACGCCAAAGGCAATGCAGCAGCGTGCAACTGAGATGTTTCTCTATCAAAACAGCCTCTATAAGTATGGAAGGGCACTTGGCCATCTTGACTCAGTTTTTATTTGGCTGAACCTTATAAAGGAGGGAAAAGAAGAACCTTGTTGATTGTTTTGAATCTGCTAGAGAAGTAACAGAAGAGGCATGTAGATCAAGGATGAAAACCACTTGGTGTAGTTGTTAAGGCATCAGGCCAGAAACCAGGATAATGAATTCTAATCCTGACCTATGCATAAAGCGAGCTGGGTGACATGAGCCAGTCACTCTCTCTCAGCCTTAGGAATTAGGCAATGGCAAACGACATCTTCATTCTACCCAATTAAAATCAGCTTTAGAGTTATCAAGTTTTTTTTTTAAAAAAAGAAGATATTTTTCAGCTTCCTCCCAGCTTCCACTTCTTGGAAAGACTTCTAAAGAAAAGAACCACAATGCTTATTGCAAATCCATATTAGTTCATTCCATTTGTTTGCTTGCTTGGCCTTTTAAGTTTTTTCCTATTCCCTAAAATTTCTTATAGGAAAGCTGTCGAAAGGTGACAAAATCTGTGGAGGATGCTGAAATTAAGACCAGTGTGCTGGAAGAAAATTCAGCCCTCTTGGAGGTGAGAGAGAAGATTTAAGACTTGCAGAAATATAGGGTGACATCAACAGTACAAGTAATTCACAGCAGGTGGAAAGGTAACAGCTGCTACAGAGCTATTAGATTGATGGAGAACAGTTGTCAAAAAGTAAGATTATAAACAGAATTTGTGATCTGTGATTGCACTTAAGGAACCAAGACTAGTTTCCTCTAGCATAAACAGAAGCTGCAATTCAGTTTTCTAGCTCTTTTGGAAGAAAAACAGAAACAAAAGCAATTTTCTGTGGAGCTTTTCAAAATCAGAGTATTGGGCAGGGTTGATCATCTGACCAACTCTCTGTCACTTATCACAAGATGTCCATTTTTGCCTCTCCATCTGTCTCTTTTAAATCTTTCTCTTACCATCTTCGTCAAGGGATTCTTTTCAGATATTAAAAAAACCCAAAAAGCAAAATATGGACCTTTTAGCAAAAGACAGCTACTATCACATAGGGATTAAGGAAGTTAATTGCCAGTTCAGTTCCACTGGCAATTATAAGATTGCCATCTTTTTTTTGTCACACACAGTTCTTTCTCCAGGTTTCCCAAACACAATTATCTTATGTTGTAGGCCAGTCTGACAATATCAGGCTGGCCTACAGCACAATATAATTGTTTTGGGGAAAACTTGGAGAAAGAGCTGTGTATGACAAAAATAAGCACCTTCAATCATGATTCCTTGTGGCATAATGTTTTTGGAACAATATGAAAGTGTTTTGTTATCACCTTTTCTGGAATTTTGTTTTTAAATTCTGTCTCACCACTATTGCATAATGGTTAAGCTTTGGATTGGCATTGAAGGGAAAGACGCGCTAATCTCACCCCACTGTCACTTGTAGAAGCTCATTTTGCCAGTTCCTCCCTCTCTCAGCCCAGGCTATTTCCCAGGGATGTTGTTGCCAGAAATCAGGATTAGTGCTAAATTTGCTACTTTGAGCTTCTGAATAAAAGCTGGAGTAGAAATTTAATAAATCATATCATTATTTATTATCATAAGACTTCCCGATGGGCTGAGTACTACAGGCTTGACTCTCTGTATCTGTCAGAATTAGGCAAGTTGCTACTCGCTGTAGATGAAAGGTGCAATGATGATAGAACAATATGGCAAACTCAATATTGTCCTTCTTGCTAGATTTCTGGTATAGGATAATTCTTTTTTAAATGCTGCAACTGATTCAGCTGTTTGCCCCTTTTATTCACCATCTTATTAAATTGAAAAGGATGGAATCACTCCCAAAGAAAACCACACCAAACTACTCTCTTCTGTGGATGCACTGTTTTTTCCCCCCCTCCAAACCTTTTGGATTACAACAACTAAAGTTTCTAGCTAACCCAGCTAGACTGACTGGGAACTATGAGCATTGTAATAATTATACTCGGTGCCAAATTAATGTCGTTTCCCTGTCACTTCCCCCACTCTGTTTAGGAGAAACTACGTAACTTGCAGCAACAAGTTCAAGTAGAAGACTTTCGTTGGTAAGAACTCATAGCAGTGGCTGGAACAGGGGTGGCAAGTGGGGTCTCCCAACAACTTTTGAACTTACTAGGCAGAATGGTAGCAACACTCTCAAATTCAGCCATCTATGAAGCGAGTAATGCTGTTCAGTCATCAACAGCCTATGAGGTGTGCTGGAAGCTGGGCAAAGTCTTGGGGATGAGGAGGGCATGGATGAAAAGCCAAGCATGGCTTGCACCTTGACTTGCTTTCCTCTGCTGGGAGAGATCAGGTACTGTGAAGTGGGAGTGGAAGAGCCTTGGTTTTGCTAGAGGCACCAACTCATCAACCTGGTCTCTTTCCTCACTTCTCACTTTAGGAAATGCATGCTGGAGCTGGCCCAGAAGGAAGCATTGCGGCTGCTGGCCCAGCTGGGGGTACGCTTGGAGGGGGTTCTTCCCCAGCGGGAAAGGTCACAGGTGGAACAAGGCCAGGAGCTCAAGATGCTGCGGGAGGAACTGGATGAAGTCTCTACCACGTATGTGCCTCTCCTGAGCAAACAGGCTTTCCTTTCTCTCTTCCAAAGAGCCCTCTTTTTCCCAGCAAAGAAAAGACCAGATTTCAGAGTCAAGCACAACCCATTATTTACTGTATCCTAGAGCTAAAATATGAGAGATCCAATTAGATAATTTTTGCTAATGTTCCTAGCTACTTATAGAACTTTTTCCTCCTAAAGATTTGGTTTTAGAAAAGTTGACTACAACTTCCATGATCATCACTTTGTATTAAGAGTTATAATTATTTGTAGCTCTAATCCTGTAGGGAAGATTAGTATATTACTTGTTATAGCTTTGTTGACTTGGAATCAAGAAATCCTGATCACTATAATTTTTCTTTTAAAAAGTGAAGTTTTCTAGCGTTCATGAGTCTTCCAAGAGCAAGCTTCATGAATCTGCCTATGGTCTCTTTTTCTTCAGTAGGTTTTCTTCCACATTAATTAGATCTAATTCTACCCAATTCTTCTCTTTGCTTAAAAAGTACCAGGTGGTGCAAAAATTCAGATTCAGAATAAAAGAGGGTGGGTCCTATAATGTATTTTTTTAATAAAGCTGTACAATTGTAGATGAAATTCCATATTGAGCCTTCCACATCTCATTGTAATGGAGAGTAAGGGAGAATAAAATGTAACAGGACAGAGAGTCTGCAGTATCTCCTGAAACACAAATGTCCCAAACCAGGAAGTCACTATTCTTTTGCCAACTTTTGATGTGAAAGGGCTGTAAAATGAGGTTGTTCCAATCTCAAGACCTGCTCCAGGGATTGTGGCAGGCAAATTTACATCTCTCTGAGCTGTTACAGGGCTATGAATTTGGAAATTGTGGAAGTTTGCCCTTTTACTTACAGCTGCTTTCTTCTCTGGTAGGGCAAAGCGGACTTCATTGTCTCTCACTCAGCTTCGGACAGACCTGGATGGGCTCCTGGAAGACATATCCCGACATCTTGCAACACTGAAGAATATGGAAGCGTCTGACCGGCCTCCTTCTAATTGTGCTAGATGTTCCAGGTACCTAGTTAAACCTCTGGGTCAGAATTGAAGAATACTGGCCAACCTGATAGCGAGAATCAGAAAGCTAGACTAAGGAAGGATGTGGAGATTAGGGCAAAGTTAGGTTTGATTTCACACAGATCAGTGACATAAAGCCTCTAAGTAATGTTTTGCTTAATCACAATTTATTAAACAAAGCATTACAAATAGTCTTCAACTTATGACCATAACTTAATCTGGAATTATGGTTACAAGTCATGGTGGTTGTTAAATTGATTATTGTGTGACTGCACCCAATTTTATCTTTTTTTGCAGAGGTCCTTAAGGAAATGCGGTGTTAATTAAGCGAAACCATAGTCCTTAAGTGAACCCATTTTACTCAATAGGTTTTTTGCTAGTAACCAGATACAAACATTAGAAATCAGCAAAAAAAAAACAACCTTGAAAAAGTTAGAACAAAGAGCTCCAAATGCGAGTGATGCAGTTATTAAGTGAAGACTCCCTATATTAGCTACATTCGCACATTAAACCATAAATCATAGTTGGGCCTGGATTGCTGCTTGAATTCCCAGCCTGCTGGTAGACTGCAGGAGGTCTTCCAACGACTTTCTTATCCAAAAAGGGAAGTGTCAGAGAGATTGTTGCTGACAGAAGAAATTATTAAAAATAGAAATATCTTTTACCTCTAGGACTCAAACTCCAATTCTCGTGTTATTTGGCTTTTTTTTTTGACTCAAAAAATATACAGTACATTCTGGATTGTTTTTGGCATGTGAGATTTGGCATAACCTATGGTTTGTAATTTCAAGGACCTCAAAAGCTAAGATAAAACCAAACATAACATATTATGGCTTAGCATGGTTGACTGATTAAACCAATTTAATAGCTTCCCAATTGACACATGAATCAGGGCAGTATACATCAATAGAAAACAATATGTAATAAACCCCCAACATTAAAATAGGATAAAATATATTCCTAAAGTAACTTCATCTAACCAAAACTAATCTACGAACAGTCCAATGGCACAAAATCTCCCATCCTGTGTTTTGGGGAAAAATCTAAATCTTGGTAACTTTAAGCTGTGTGGATTTCAGAATCCTGAGCCAATTCCTGATTCTCAAGCCTAGCATGAGTTGAAATCCACACAGCTTAAAGTCACCAAGGTTGAGAAATGCTTTCTTATTGGATGGCCATGATGTATCAGAACAGCTACAAACTCTTAAGGTTTTTTTTTTATCAAGGACTATCCAAAAATTTTGCTCAAGCAGTCCATGAACAGTATGTCACCTAGAAATACTAATTTGAAGTTATAGATTTCATAGACCAGCAGATAATTGCAGTTTTCCAGAGACGGTTCAATATTACAGAAACAAGTACATTGACTTCCCATATGAGCAGTTAATTTGCTGCTGAAAAATGCAGTTTTCTACAAAATCCAGTATCTGGCATTGGCTTTAGTTTCCTGAGAACATCTGTTTTCATTTATTTAAAAAAAAGTTCAAGTTGCTAAAACTCATGTTATTGGCATGCATGTTTAGAAGAATCAAGAAGAGCTGGTTTTTAAAATGGCTGCTTTTTAAAACTCTCTTCCCAGCTTAGATGTTTCATACCTATTGCTTACCTCCTCTCCTTCTTCTAATGATATTTTGAGACACCCCCACCCCCTTTGCCAGTTCTGGTAAAAGGGGAAATTGTCCTAAAGCAATATTAAGTTTGACAGTGCTTTTTTGTTGTCTTTATGTTAAATACGCTCACTTCCAGAGAGATCTTATGTTATTTTCAGTGCAGTAAATTGCATTCTTCTGACATTGCATGGAGGGAGTTTCCTTGACGCTGTACCTGGGCTGTTTCTCTGTCTTTCAAGACTTTAACCAATCATATTTTCTACATTTACTGACTGTGTAAATGACATTCCTTTTCTTTTTTTTTCACCTCCTGCTTCCCACCTACAGCTATAGCATTGTGAATACAGAGGTGCTGCGAAAGATGTTTGAGCATGCGATGGCACCTGTTTTGGAGGAGCTGAAGCAGCGGGCCCAATCAGAAGGCATATGCCCCAGCTGCCAGCGTTTGCAGAAGACGATGGCACAGCGAGGCACAGAGTAGACTAACCCCAGACCCTCCAGCCCCCAATAAAATGTTTCCAGAGTGCAACCTTTCTGGAGCATTTTTCTGACCCTAAGTGGATGCAGGCCAGATTGAGATGGCCTTGTACTGGGAAGTCTGGAGGCAGATTCACCTTGGCTATGGATCTACCATCTGCAAAGCTGCCGTATCCTGCATCTTGTTCCCATTCTATTCTGACTTCAGTTCACCAAAACCTCTTGCAGAAGTTTGTCTAAACACTACTAAAAATAGTTCGAGAGATTGGAAGATGAACCTGTGATCTTCAGTGGGCAAAGCACAATTGCTTTGTCACTAAGCTTTTCTTCCTCTCACCTTGGCTCATACAGGGAATTCAGTCATAGTAGTCCAAGAGTTAAATGCAGCCTCTGAAAATCCTGTATGTGCTTTCCTGAGCAATTCTGTTACTGCTGAATGGTAGATTTAATGTGACTGAAAGTGAAAGTCATTACATTGACAGGGAACAATCAGTGATATTAATTGTAATGATAAATGTAAATTAAATTTTGTTTTGTCCTGGCCCTGTTGATTTTGACCAGTGCAGCCTCCATATACTTTTCCAAAGGTGAATAACTGCTCAGCTATAGTTTTGCACTACCTTCCGATTGAATGATCTTCCTATCTACTTCCATGTTGCTCTTTTTTGCATTTGCATCTATTTTCCTATAAACAATTCTTTGTACTTTGTAGGAAGGATAATAGCACTGAGGTTGGTGTAGGACAGTGAAATAACTTTGGGGAGCGGAAACCACCTTTCTATATCCAGTTGAATAAATCTAAAGGCATTCACAAAAATAGTGTATTGGTGATGTAACATATTGCCTGTTCAAGCTTCAGGTTTTGGGATATGTGAGCTCAGAAGCACAGTCGTGCTTTTTCATTAATAAGCAAAATAGCATATGTCTGTTTCAAGTTTTCATTCTTCTTGTAAAGTTCACTGAAAGTTTAGTGTCAGTTTTGTTCTATTTTATTTATAAACACATCTTTTGCATATATATAGAAATCCATCACTTTTGCATTGTTATTTATTCCCCGGACATAGTATCTTAGTCTCTCGGTAGTTATATGAAAGACAATTTCCAGCTTGCGTTCTAATTTTAAAAGTACTCTGTAATTGATCTGTCACTTCCCAGGTATTCCTGTAAAGGGAAATAAGGCGGGAGCCCAAGAAACAATAGGGTGGAAGAAAAGGAAAAAGAATCACTAAGGAGTTTCTAAATAAAATTGTGCGCGAAAGATAAATTTAGTTTTGCTCTTTCTTTCCCTTCCAGCTTTTTGTGACATGTAGCTGAAATTGTCAAGAGAACACCAGCATTTGGCTGGGGCAGGCATTATTTGTTTAATCATTTTATATCCTTGTGCAACCTTGTAACTAAGCTAGCAGTCTTCAGCAAACTGTTCTTCTATCTTGGAAAAGTTTTACTGGGTAAAAAGCTGAGCATAAGCTATTGCAAATCAAACTGAGCTATAATGAGTCTCTTGATAGCCCACAAGTTAAGACCAGTAGAGCAAAGATACCAAAATGGTGGTTCCAGGTATTTCCCTTCCTGAGAGATAAATATGTACTAGGAATCCTACTTGTTGATGTTGACTTTAATTATTTACCAAATGTCAGAAATATGTAAGTTATAGGTACTTGGGTTCATTCAGCTACCATTCAGTTATGACAGTGCTAAAAAAAGTGATTTACTATCATCTTTGCACTTACAACCATTGTGCGTCCCTGTGGTTATGTGATCAAAACTGGGTGTTTTGCAACCAGCATGTATTTAGGACAGTTGCAGTATCCTGGAGAATGGAAATCATGTGAAGGCATAAAATATAATATCAGGTGCACCTCAATTAATGACTGCCTCACTTAGTGATGGACAGTCCCAATTGTAGTTGTCAGTTGAGATCTACCTGTATCTGCTGTTCTGAGGACAGGGAGTGAAGCTAAAAGGTGTGAGTCATTTTAAAAATAAACTCAGTTCTCACACCCTATTTGATATCCACTGCCATTTCTCTATCTATGGTAGCTCATAAATCATCCAAAATATAAACTAAAAGTGCATCTTTCTCAATCTTTCAGCTGCTTAATAGTTGCTCAACCCTGCACTAAGATCTAAACTGTACTATAGTGTTTTGTTTTGTTTTTTAAAAAAACTTACTTTCTTGTAGTTGATTATATTGTAAATGAAAGCTTCCTTCTCTTAGTCTCTATGTAATTCACAGTATAACCTTCAAATTTCCAGAAACACAGGGACTGGGCTTTACACATATGCACAATCATGTTGCTTTGGATTCTCATTGGCAAATGGTTTTATCTTTTTTTTTTTTACACAATATCTACTGGGATAGTGGGATGGGAAGAGACCTGATGTTTTTGCTATCTATTTATTAGCCAGCCCTTGTAAGGATTGTCAGATCTTCAGGATCTAATGACTCTCAGTTTCAAGCATTACCACTGAGTAATTAGATCATCATATCCAAATCTATCCTTTAGTATTTTTTCCTATGACTTTGCTTGCTACATCATTTGCTACAGTCACAGGTTAGAGCTAGACCGTGTCTTGTGACCCAGTGCACTCAAGGCATCAGGGGACAGTAGAATCCTGCAAAGGCAGCCCTGGGAGAATGCAGGATTCTTTTCCCTGTGGTACTTTGCTCTCTTAGGACAAACTGCTGACCTTGTTTGCTTTGTGACAGCATCATGATTACAAGTATTGCACATATTATTTGCTTGGCTTGACACCCCAATGGGTTAATGAGGTCTGTAGGCCTTCCTTTTCTCTCCTTTTTCCAATGTCCAATTGCTCTGATCAATGGAAACAGGATCTGGAACAGCATTGGAGGCTCAGCACAAACAGAAGCACTGCTGCAAGATTACGCACCTTAAACAAGTATGCCCTGCAGCATTACCCACCTTAAACAAGTATGCTCTGCAATCCAAATGCCAAGCACTGCCCCAATCTAAAATTTTTTGCATTCAACACACTAAAGATCTGAAAAGCTCCATCTTGCTATGAGCTTTCAGAAGACTGAAGTGCGAAAGCTATTTTTTGGAAGTTGCTTGAAATAGTCTGAATACGTGGGCCTAACACCATCTACTTTTCTAACTGCAGTATGGCAGTGCCCCATTTTTTCCACACACTTTCCCTAATATTTTTTCTTGTATGTTCCATAATTAAGCCGTTATATTTTACAAAAAATAGCCTTCAGTGAAGATTCCAAATGACAGTTGCAGAAATTATACAAAAGGATGGTAGCCAAAACTACTTGCTAAATGTCTGAAAAAAGGACATTTAAAAGAGGCAGTATTAAGCACTTCTGCAGCTGAGGGCTCCCTTCAAAACCTCTTGGTTTTCAGACATGCTCCTTGTGACTTTCCAACCTTTCAGTTAACCAAAACCAAACATTTTTGGCAAGAAACTCCCACTCTATAGAGTTTTATTAACATTTATAATGCTAAGAAATATTAAGATTCCTTTCCCCTACATGGAATTTATTTGATTTCCTATTAGCTTAGGCATTAAAGGGTGGGAATAAGGAACTCAGTTCTCAAAAATATTACCCATCATCCTATCTCAAGCATTTTATAAGGATAGAATAATCATCACAGCCACAGGGACTGAGTCCTTCATATGTGAAGCATGGAATAGGCAGGCAACCAAGCACTGAAATGGCTGGAGCACAGGGAGAAGCTGACTGCGGATGGCTGAGGAGGCACAGTTTCAGACTATTCGTGTGGGAGCTTGAAGCAGAAACCTCGATCAGCTAATCTTCCAACTTTTCGGTTCTAATCCAGCAAAAATTCTTCATCCACAACCAAGTCTTGGTTAGCAATCTTCTCCATCAGATCTTTAGGAAATAAGAAATGTGGGCAGGGTGAATAAGAACTCTTATTTGCCTAGAGATCTGTGGTATTTCATATACTATAGAACAGTGATGGCGAACCCAAACTGCAACCCACAACCCACTTATGTATCGTTGGGTGCCGGGTGGCTGTGGCCAATTGGGTGGCTGTGGCTGCGATGATCACGGCAGACTGGGTGGCCGTGGCGGGGCATGGCCACCTTGATGTTGCTTGTGGGGAGGGGTGCCTATGGGGGCCAGGTAGGGTTGGGGGAGATCCAGGAGGTCTCTGGCGGGTGGGACGGTGGGCAGGAGGCTCATCCTGCGGGCTGAGGCAAGGCAAGGCAGGGGCCGGGTAGCTGCTGCCTGACACCATCAGCCCCCACACACAGCGAGCGCATGGGGGCCAACTGTGTCTGTCAGCAGCCACAGCCTGCCGGACCCTCGACCAGCGCACTCTTGAGGCTCCGCATCAAGCGGAGTAGGGGAGGGGGGATCCGGTATACTGGTTCCTTACTTCCTTACCTCCGCCCGGCTTGTTCCGGGCCTTATGGCAGCGGCATTGGGTGCGATGCGCGAGGTGGCAAATGGCCATTTTTGGCGCGACATGGCTGTTTGCTGCCGGCTGTGGCCATTTGCTGCCTCGCATGTCACATCCAATGCCGCTGCCATGAGGTCGCGGAACAAGCCGGCCGGAGGTAAGGAACAGGTATACTGGTTTCTTACCGCCACCTGGCTTGTTCCGCGGCCTTATGGCAGCGGCATTGGGCACAATGTGCGAGGCAGCAAACAGCCGGTTTCAGTGCAACATGGCTGTTTGCTGCTGGCCATGGCCATTTGCCGCCTCACGTCACACCCAATGCCGCTGCGATGAGGCCGCGGAACAAGCCAGGCAGAGATTAGGAACCAGTATACTGGTTTCTTACCACCGCCCAGCTTGTTCCGCGGCCTCATCGCAGCGGCATTGGGCAGGAGGCGGCAAATGGCCGGTTTCGGCACGACGTAGCTGTTTGCTGCCTTGCGTACTGTGCCCAATGCTGCTGCAATGCGGCTTGGCTGAAAGTGGCTGTGGAACAAGTGGGGCAGGTTCCCCCTTCACCTGCTCGTTCAGCTATAGCTTTGGTGGCTCTGTAGGCAGACCTGCGTATTTCTCTGATAGAGAAGAGAACGTCGCAGCTCTGCTTACAGAGCCACCAAAGCAGCAGGTGGATTGCTGGAGGCTCAGGGAGGGAGGGTGCTGAAGTGGGTGGTCGGGCCATTGGGAAGAGCAACACGGGTTGAGTGGAAAACGGCCTCAGAACAAGTAAGGAAATAAATCCTCGCTTCCTCCAGAAATTGCCTTTCTTTCCTTACCTGACTCCCAGCCCCATATTGTTTCTCCTTCGCGATCCACCGCTGCCACTTGCAAGGACAAAGGAAGGATTTTTGGAGGGGAAAAAAGGCCAATCAATCAATTCCAACTTCTCGTGAAAGATCGCGAAGTTGGAATTGATTGACCTTTTCCCCCCCAAAAAAACTTCCTTTGTTTCCTTGCACACTTCAGCACCCTCCCTTCCTGAGCTTCGGGCGCTCTACCTGCTGCTTTGGTCGGCCTGCCAGCCTCCACCTCAACGCCCTGCCCACCGCCGCCTAGCACGGCTGCCCCGGGCCTGCAGGGGCTAGCCTGGCATGGGAAGGGCATGCGCCCCACCCTCCCGCCACCATGCAGGGTATGGTTGCCGGGCCCGCCCCCACCCAGATTCCCTCGCCTCCCCCAAGCGGTTTTTTTTTACTAACCTGCCTTTCAGCTGCATTCCGTTTCGCCATTTGCTTCTCAGCCTTTGCCACATGTTTGTGAAACTATCGGTAAAAAAAAAAAAAGTTCGATCAGACTTTCTAACTTCTTGCGAGATCTCGTGAGAAGTTAGAAAGTCTGATGAAACTTTTTATTTTTTACTGATAGTCCCATACAACACATGGCGAAAGCTGAGAAGCGAACAGAGAAATGGAATGCAGCTGAAAGGCAGGTTAGTAAAAAAAAAAAAAAAAACGCTTGGGGAAGGCGAGGGCATCTGGGCAGGGGCGGGGCTGGCAACCTTACCCTGCGCAGCTTTGGCAGGTGTCTGGCAGGGGGAGAGAAGCAACTGGTCTATCACCATGCTAGCGCCATGTTGCTTCTCTATCCCATACACAGCCCCCCCCCCTCCGCACTTGTCATCACTGCCATTGCCGCTGCCATCGCCCCACGAGGCCGAGGCAGCTTAAAAACCAGACAGGCCAGCCTCCCCACCTTTCTTCATCATCGCTGCCATCGCCATCGCCCCACAAGGCCAAGGCAGCTTCAAAAACTAGGCAGCCCCCCGTGCCTTTCTTCGCCATCGCTGCCGCTGCCATCGCCACATGAGGCCGAGGCAGTTCCAGATACCAGGCAGGCACCCCCCCTGCTATGTGCCTTTCTTCGCCATCGCAATCACCGCCATCGGCGTCATCGCCACCGCCCCACGTGGCTGGGCACCCGGTGAGTGAATGCTGCCTTGTTGGGGCCTGCTGAGGCCAGCGGCCAGCCGATGCAGCTTCAGACACCAGGCTGCCCCTCGTCCTCCTCCTCCCCTGTGTGGCCGGCCGCTGAAACTTACCACTGATGGCTCATGCTCGCTCGCTCGCTGTCTGCACCAAATGCTGCTCCTGCCCAAAGTTGTTCCTTTTATAGCTTCACCCCGCCCAGATCTCTCGCCTATTCCCAGACTCCGCATGCGTGGAAAGGAGGAGGGGAACAGCTTGGCCCGGCGTCCCTCTATCATTGGCAATGGCGTGCGTGCCAACAGAGACGGCTCTGTATGCCGCCTATGGCACACGTGCCATAGGTTTGCCACCACGGCTATAGAATCTAGGCTTCCTAAATCCAAAGGTGAACTCCATTGTGCTTGCAGGGATCTTCAGGACTGGCCCCTGGGCAGGGTCTAGGACCTTCAGGCATGGACCGTTGGCCATGCCTCCTTCTCCTCCCACCTCCCGCCTCAGCCCATTTCTCTCCAGCATTCCTCTTTGGCTGGCCCTCCCCCACCCATTCACCCGGGCCAATGAGCCGCTTGCCCTCCACCCCATGCCCTTCAGACTGGCCCTTTCCCCAAGGTCCCATTTGTCCCAGGCCTTTGGCTGCACAGGACAGATAGCCACCAGACAATCAGGTGGCAGGCCAGAAGCCATAGTGCTGCAAGGGCAGCCTGCAATGGGCAATGATTTTTTTAAAAAGTACTGCCAGGTTTTGGAGCCTGGCAGCTCTATCACCAGGACTGGAGAGAGGGGAAGTGGCAGTGGGAATAGCAGCCGCCACTGGACCATGGGGGGGCAGATAGGTGAGGGTATGGGGGGAACCAGGAAGGGAGGGAGGGGCGCCTCAAGCGGGCTTCACAAAGATAGCTTGGCTGGCAACTCAAATGACGGAGGGGAGGAGGAGCAAGACCAGCACTCTTCGGGGGGGGGAGCAGGTGAATGGCAGGGCCTGCACAGCTCTTCTGGGGGGAGGGGAGGCAAACAGCAGGGCCTGCATGGCTCTTCTGGGGTGAGGGGGGAGCAGGCAAACGGCAAGGTCTGTTCTGCAGTTTTGTTTTGTTTTTAAGCTGTCAGAGGCGCCAGGCAGAGCGGGCAACAGGTGGGTGGGGGCTTCCCATTTTGACCTCTCCCACCTGTTATTGCCCTGTGCCTGGACTCTGACCTGACGGGCTTCTGTGTGGCTCTCTGCTCAGCCCTGCCGTTCACCTGATTTCCCCCAGCAGGAGCTGCACAGGCCCTGCGTTCGCCTCCCCCCCACCCCGCAATGCCAGAATCTGTGCTGGCCTTGCTCCTCCTCCCATCCTTCATTTGAGTTGCTAGCCAAACTGTCTTTGTGAAGCCTTGAGGCACTATTCCCTCCCTTCCTGGTTTCCTCCCAACACACCCTTACCTATCTGCTCCCCCCCCCCAGTGGCGGCTGCTACTCCCGCTGCCACTCCCCCTCCCTCTGGTCCTGGGGACAGAGCTGCCAGGCCCCAAAACCTGCGGAACAGCTGCAGCACTTTTTAAAAAAATCATCGCCCATCGCAGGGTGCCCTTGCAGCACCATGGCTTCCTGCCACCCACCCATTTGGTCAGCGGCTATCTGTCCCGTGAAGCCAGAAGCCCACGACAAAGGGGGCCTCAGTGAAAGGGCTAGGCTGAAGGGCACGGGGCGGAGGGGCTCATTGGCCTGGGAGAATGGGCGGGGAGAGCCAGCTGAGGAGGAATGCTGGAGGGAAATGGGCTGAGGCGGGAGGTGGGAGGAGAAGGAGGCATGGCCAACAGTCCGTACCTGAAGGTTCCATTCTGCCTGGGCCTCCTCCCCCCCTCCCCATTTTCAAAAACCCCTGCTGATTAGTGAACAGAAAAAAAAACCCTCAACATGTGTCATTGATAACTAACTGTACAATCTTGCTGGCATTTATTCAGTCACTGGCCAACTGTGGCCTGGGCCAGTTTGTTCACTTGGAAAAGGATCAAGATGTCATTCATGGCTTTCCGGATATTAAACCCAAAACGGTGTGCATCCTGTAGGAAAGAAGAAAGATAAAGAAATTTAGCTAAAAAAACCAGAACAGATATACCAGTGAAATTTCAAAGCATAGACTTAGCATTACATAGATAAAACATCCAAGCAAGGTTCAAACTGTATCATCTTAATAGGGGATGAGCATTAGAAGGCAGACAAACACCTTCATATTTTGTGGCAAGGGTTTCCCCAGGCAAATTGACTGGGAATTCTGGAGAGCAGACAGCTAATCCCTAACTATACACCCTAATTGTATGGGTTCCTAATACCTATCAAAACAAGTAGTTGCTTGTGTTTTTGTATTACATATGAACTCAGCCCAGTTTGGTTTATTCAACAAATCATGGTTCATCCAAAAGTAACTTAGTGCATTGAAAGAACCTAGCTGTTTATTTCCAACGTCTTGCGGTCATAAGAAAATAACACCTATATACTTCAACACCTGTGGGGGAATATAGTTTGGATTGCATTCCAGAGGGCCAAGAGACAGCAAAGTTTAGATAGTTTGATTGGGAGAAAGAGAGTTAAGTGGGCTCCTCCCTAGCAATTCTCAGAGTATATTCTTAATGATGCAAGCAGTTGCTTTAGTTTGGCAAAACTAGGTGAGGAACAATAAAGGAAACTGCTCAGAAGCAATTCTGTGTTGTTTTTGAGGACTGAGAGCACATGACATTTAACATGCTATAGCCCTTTTAGAAAACTCAGGCAACAATGGGAAAACAGCTCATGAAATAATTGATTCTGGGGAAGAAACAAGTCACGAAATCAGCAAGTTGATTAGGTAGCAACAAGCAAGGTCAGCACCTATAATGACCATGATAAATCTGGCATTTGCCACTGCACATTTATCTCTCAACATTTATAATTGAGACAGATAATTGCATATGTACAACGTTACACTCTTTTAAATCTCTTGTCTAAAACTAAACTGCATTTTCTGTTGGCATTCAACTGGCAGAGGGCTGGGGGCATGAGACCATAACCATTATCTACACACACCATTGATGCCATACTCAAATCACCAAGGTATCCTATTCCCCAGTCCACCATCCTATTCCCCAATACATCATCCTCTCCCCTGCTAAGAAAACCATTAGTCCAGACTCACTGTCCCTTGGCCGGAGAATTTGCATGACACGTGGAAATTGATGAGATCTTCACCGACAATGATGTAAGATACTCCATATCCATTATCATCAACCTTTCCATTGGCACAGAAGAAAAAGCAACATGAGGTAGGACTTTTGCTTCCAAAGCCCCACTATTTTCCATAGCAAACAAGCATTCTTAGTGAATACAGGATTCCCGGGTTTCATAAATATGCATCCCCTCCAATTTTAAATTTCCCTCAAGAAAATCCAGGAATTTTAGTACTGCTTACCGGTCCAAATCCACCACCACAAGAAACATAGTCAGGATTATTCTGAAGGTCAAATAGTTCCATCTGCTGAATGGGAGTCTGACTAGTAGAGAGTCTCCATGGTTCAGATAATACCTGACAAAGAAGAAAGAAATCAGGGAATAAGCAGGGAGCTCTACTATCATTGACTTTCATTCTGTACTCCATAGCTCACTTATCCAGTCTAGTGTTTCAAAGAAATTATAGATAGAGATTAGAAATTAAAGACAGAAAAAACATGTTTTACAAACATGTTCAGCCCCAAATTCGCTATAAAAATCAACATTCATCCAAAGATGAACAGTTTAGTCCATACTCATTTATTGTGAATATATAATCAAAAGATAACATTTGAAAATAAGGTAGAATGGGTTCTAACTTAATATAGGAGAACTTGACAGATTTGGCGGCTGAAAAAGGATGTTTAGATACTTATAGTTAAAATAGTTCCCAGATTCTAGTGGATTTAAGAAAATATACATAGATCAAACCAGTCATCCAGGTAGATTAGAAAATCTCCAAATTGATGGTTGTCTCTTTTAAAGGGAAATTAATGTTTCCAGCAAGAAATATCATTTACATGTTTCAAAAACACAGAAACACAGTACTAAAAACAAATAAAATCTGTTGAAATCCTTCATTCTCACTGCTGAAAAAATATATGGCATTGTTATATTTTAATATAGATAATTTAAAGCTCCAAACAAGCATCTAGAATACGATATTTATTTGGTTAATTAATCATGAATAGATGAATAACAATCCAGCAAAGCTGCTTTACATTTTAAAAAATCCAGCAGATAAAATATTTTGACACATGGCATTCACAATGAGTCAAATGAACCTTGAGCTTTAAAACAAAACCTTCATACTTCTGGCTGAGTTCACTTCCTTTAGTGACAAAAATAAAAATACCTATTTTAAAGGGGAAACAACCTTGACCATACTTATAGGAAGTTCTATCTCCAGAAATAGAAATGTGTTTTTTGTTTTGTTTAAATAGCTAATTTCAACCTATATATAAGATGAATATAAAATCTGAAGAGAATTGATTATTGTGATATCATCTTATGTATTCTTTTTATCAATTTAGCCTGGGGTGAACTGAATACTTCTATTTTTGCCTCATTGGACAAAAGCCTGCAAGATTCAAGATATAACCTGGGACAAAAAACAACATTTTTCTCATTTTTCACCTCACTTTCTGAGAACAATTGATTTGGGGAACTATGCCAGCAGAGTTTACCTCACGCAGGAAAGGAGAATCCAGGCCAAGGTATTTTGAGACAACATAGAGGCAGAAAAGATGCCTATCGATGCCAGACCCTATCATGGCTTCCCGATAAAGATTCTGGTGTTTCTCAGCTGCTACTCGGAAGAGGCGTAATCTTGAATTATCCTGGAAAGAGAAATTGATTTGGCATGATTTAACAGGTTTTACTGTAGATCTTCATATTCTACACCCCCTTGAATATTCCTGCAAATCTATCTAGGAGGACCAGACTCCACATATTTGCTGCCTAAACTTTTAGATTTTTCTTCACCTTATCAGGTGGTCCAGTGGATGGCAATTAAGGACAAGGAATTTTCAGGATGGTACTGCATATCTGGAATGGCTTCCCTATCAAGGATCTCCTTTGTTGTTCTATTAGTTCTCTCCCCCCCCCCCATTGCTAAAATAAAGGCTCTTGACTTTTTAAGACAGTGTTTCTTAAACCTATGTTGCATTAAGTTTTATTATATAGTTACTGTTTTTAAAAAATGTACTTAATTTTCAAAATATAAATGAGAGGGAGGGTATAATAAACTTCTATTCACTGAGGGAAATTGCCTATCAATCATCGCAATGTATTATAGACCTTCAGAATGACAAGATTGCAAAGTGTTCATTGGGTGAGTTTATCTACAGTTCTGAACAAAAGAAAAAATAATTATAAGGTATGCTGTTTAAATAAACAGCAAAAAGTGATATAAGCTAGTTCTATGAGAAATATAAGTAGATTAGCTATTCTGGATATTGCAAATAAAAAGATAAGTAATGATTTTAGAAACTGGAACTAGAAGGGACTATACATTTTAAACAACAGAAAAAAAATATAAGCCTGTACCTGATGTCAGTTAAGGCTGGGACTTACAAGACAACAAGAAATTTTATAACATTGGAAATATTATGGGAAGTCTTTGAAGAATTGACCCAGAAATTAGTAACCATAATATCAACAGTTCCAGCAATGGAACTGCTGTCTGTCTTTTTGGATAGATTATGTCTAAAATATGTTAATGAGGAAATGACAGCTGTCAAATTTTATCTGACAAGACAGAGAAAGTATTGAAAATGGAACTACAAATGACAGCTCAAGAAAATAATGTGGAAAAGGACTGAAGAAAGAAAAAAGAAAATGGCTGAAGTTTTAAAAATAAAAAGGCAAATAGAAATGTTGAATTAAGAAAATGATCTAGAAATTTTTTTATAGCATCTACAAGAGACTTATTAAAGCCTTGAAGAAATCTATGCAATGAGATATAAAAAAATTGAAGAGAAATCAAATCCTATGACAATAATTAATTGAGTTAAAAATTAAGATTGTTAATGTAAAAGGAAGGGATATCAAGTTGGTTTATCTGATCTAAGTTAAAATAAGGCATTTTTATTTGCCTGAACATTTTTTTGGGATGTCATCCAAGTCATGGTTGTCGCAAATATGCTTTTCAAAAGGAAAATGGACTTTCTTGATTTTTTCCTTGAAAACATTTCAGTTCTCATCTAAGAAGCTAGATGATTAGCTGTTTCTCAGTGTGGATGAAGATCTTACTTCATTGATAGTTTCCCTATATATTTATATATCCGCTCTCATTAGGTCTACTGTATTATGTCTAGTATTACATCAACTATAGGTTCTCTTGTCTTGTTCATGTCTGATTTATTCCAGTAGCCCACGTATTGTCAGATTGCCCTGATTCCCCAACATCAACCTTGTTAATCCAGGCTGTCATGACTTTTAGTTCTTGTCATTCTCATATCCAAGATAGATGGATGAAACATTAGGTGGTTTTTGCCCAAGGACCCCTACTGGCAAGTATCAGCCAGTATTTGAACCCCAGTTCCCACATCAAAGTGCAGAGCCAAAACCATTAGACAATCTACCTGTCAAACTGTTTTGCGCTTTCACCTATATTACGCTTGGCTCACAGCTCGATAAAGAAAAGGGAGGAGGTGGGATGGAATGCAAGGTTGGGTGGAACTGCCTCTGAGCATCACTAGTTCCCGTGAGACAGTGATCCAACTCAAGGACACATTGAGCAGGTGGACTAGCGTGGCTCTCTGGTTCCCATAACAAACTAAACAGAAGTGATTGGTGGATGTAATGGACTGTGGGTGGCCCATAGTCCAAGGGGTGGATTAACTATGTTAGCTTTTGCATGGGAAACCCAGAGCTGGTTTTACTTCATCTGTGCCAATATGGTTTCATTCAGTAAAGTTTATACTCTTGGTAAAATAATGTCCCAGGAGTTTCTTTTTCTGGATCCACCAGCTGGACCTTAGCCATTTTTATTCATATAAAAACCTCCATTCATGGCATAAGCCTTGAAACAGAATCCTTTTTGAACTGTGAATTTGCAATGGAAAAGTGTTCCCCTGTCAAGGAGCATATTTGTGGGGCAGAGGAGGGAATAGCACTGCCAAGGTTGAGACAACAATGGGCAGGATGCCATCAATACACTAAATGCATGCTTATACTCTCACACATCTCTCTCCCTCTCTCTCTCCCTCCATCCCTCCCTCTTACCTTCCTACCTCCTTTCCCTGCAGGAAAGATCAAGGAATGGGAAGAGATGATATAAACAGATACTCAGCAAGAGAGCGAAGAAAAGATGCGTGCTGTATTTAGAGGACCTCAAAGATATACAGTCTCAAGTCTGTCCTCATTGAAGCAGCCTTAAAGCTATCTTTCTTCCTCTTCCCTCATTGTTTTCTTCTTTTTCTTCATAATCCCCTTGCCATTAGATTATTATGCAATCTCCATTGCCATCATTAAGTGAATTTTGCCAGTTGTTACCAGAGGATCCAAGACATTTCTCCCAACCCTGGCCTTCAGTAAGGTGAGGGACTGCCTCCAACTCTCCCATCTCCCCTCCATCTTTGTCCTTTTGGCTGTAATTGAACAATCACTGAACCAATGGTTGTAAGTTGAGGGCTACCTGTTGCAGCATCAAACTTGACCCTCTCATTTGTAATGTAGTGTTATAAATTATTATATCTCATTGACTTTCCCAAAAAACATTCTCACTAGCACATCAGAACTCACAGTTTGAGTAGGATCCATCACTGCCTTCACAAAGTTGCAAGATTCAATGGTGCAGGAACGGACTGTTTCTGTTCGGCCTTCCCGGAAAAGACGAGTCATAGATGCTTCATAAGTGAGACAGAACTTGTTCATGTCCTAGAACAGCAAGAGGAGGACGTATAGACTAACAAGAAAGGGCTCTCTACTTGAGTATTGTTCTTGTAAATTAAGCATAGTGAAAAGTTGATGCCATGGAGGTGGAAAAATTCAGCCTCTTGGATCAGAGAAGGCAAAATGTTCTGCTGGAAGCATGAATCCAAGGTATTCTGTTAACAAAATTCAGATTACAAGAACCCTGAACAAGCTTGAAACAGAATAAGTCCAATTCATTTCTTCTGTATAAATGCAATCAAAATTACTACTTATTCTGCTATAAGAAAAAAAGACTTTTTCTTCAATTATTTTCTCCAATAATTCCCTAATTATGTTTTGAAATCAGCAAGATAATATTTATGATCTTAACCCAGTTGCACTTAACCAAACTGTTAATCAACACAATTGGTTAATCAAGCATCTTACCCGAAAATGTGCTAGTTGAAGGGCAAGCTGGATGAAGGCATCTGGACTAGTGCGGCACTTCTTGATGTGGCCTTTGCCAAAGTCCTTAAAGGTAAAGACGTGAAAATCAACGTCACTGGCCAAAGCATGGGCCAAAATAAAGGACTGCAAGATCACCTCTTGGCACTGTCAAGAATAAGATACAGAAATTATTAGCAAAGCATAGAGCAGATATCATGAGAAACTCAGTTTTCCCCTATTTTTAATTCCTTTCCAATAGTTCATTTCTGTCTAAAGAGTCTACTATCTTTGCTCTTCAGGAGAGTCTTCAGAAGAGGTAACTAATCAACCAGCAACGGGCAATGTGCTTATACCCTATATATTATATTTAATGTATTGTGAACTGCCTAGAGTGACTGTTGTTGTGACAACAACAACAACAACAACAACAATAATGATGGATGGGCAATCCATAGGCAACATGTATATCCCAGATTTCTTTTTCTCTTTTTTTGCAGTCCTTACAGTCTCCAAACTTCACACCATTAAATCTAGCAGTAAACCATCAAATTGCAAAACCAGGTTTAATTCTAATTTTATTTTTTAAAAAATAATATATTGTTTAAGATTTTAATAAATTAATTAACCTGGTTATTGAATTAACCCGTGTTTTGTGTTAATTGAATCATACATTGACTCATGAGCTAGGTTTACCCACAATTAACCAAGCTTAGCATATTATGCAAACTTAATTGAAAGGCTTTTAACTAATTTCATAAATTTTCAATTAGCATTGTTGGACAGCAAATAGATGCAACCAAAATAAAGCCCATTTCCAGATATTAAAAAGGCCCCTCAGCTGCAATTCCTCCTATAATACTCATATCTATGCCTATATATATATTGGTGTTTCCTTATTTCATTGAGGCCACTTCCATGAATAAACACTATCCTATTACAACCCAGTTGACATACCATTTTCTCTCTGTGTGTGTGTGCATGTGTGCGTATATGTGATGTGTGTGAGAGAGAGACAGAGAAGGCCACCCCAACGATGCCCTTGACGTGATGGCCCGTTGCCTGGAGGCCGTACGGGTCTGGATGGGGAGGAACAGACTCAGGCTCAACCCCTCCAAGACCGAGTGGCTGTGGCTGCCGGCGCCTCGGCATAGTCAGCTGACCCCATCGCTGACTATAGGGGGCGAAATCTTGGCCCCCTCAGAGAGGGTCCGCAACTTGGGAGTCCTCCTGGATCCACGGCTGACATTGGAAGACCATTTGTCGGCCGTGACCAGGGGGGCGTTTTATCAGGTCCGCCTGATCCACCAGTTGCGACCTTTTCTGGACCGGGACGCCTTGCGCACAGTCACTCATGCTCTCGTCACCTCTCGCCTGGACTACTGTAATGCCCTCTACATGGGGCTCCCTCTGAGGAGCACCCGGAGACTTCAACTGGTCCAGAATGCGGCCGCGCGGGCGGTGTTGGGAGGGACTCGTCGCTCCCATGTGACACCGCTGCTGCGCGAGCTGCACTGGTTACCAGTGGTCTTCCGGGTGCGCTTTAAGGTGTTAGTTACCACCTTTAAAGCGCTCCATGGCATTGGACCTG